AGGGGACGGTGGTGTGGGGGAGGGTACAGGTGTAGGGGAGGGACAGTGGTGAAGGGGAGGGTACAGTGGTGAAGGGAGGGTACAGTGGTGGTGAAGGGGAGGGAGGCACAGTGGTGAAGGGGAGGGGACAGTGGTGAAGGGAGGGAAGTGGTGGTGGGAGGGAGGGACAGGTGAAGGGGAGGGGTACAGTGGTGAAGGGGAGGGTGCAGTGGTGAAGGGAGGGCAGTGGTGAAGGGAGGGTACAGTGGTGTAGGGGAGGGCAAGGTGGTGGTGGAGGGGAGGGAGGGGTACAGTGGTTGGAGGGAGGGTAGGGTACAGTGGCAGGCAGGCAGAAAGTGGTGGCGTCTGCTGGTCGTGTGCGAGAGGGAGGGGGTGAGGGAGAGAGTGAGGGGGTAAGGGCGAGGCAGGGAAGGAGAGAGAGTGAGGGAGGGAGTAAGTGAGGGAGAGAGAGTGAGGGAGCTTAAGCCCATCTATGTAAACAACACATTTTGCCAAATTTCCCTGGCTTGGCTCTCCCTCGCTCACACGCAAGCTAGTCGCACTGCATCCACACGCTAGGCTCACTACATCCACTCGCTACCCCCACTGCATCCACATATTAGCTAGTCGCACTGCATTCACACGCTAGCCACACTGCATCCACATACTAGCTAGCCACACTGCATCCACATACTAGCTAGCCACACTGCATCCACATATTAGCTAGTCGCACTGCATTCACACGCTAGCCACACTGCATCCACATACTACAGCCACACTGCATCCACACTCCCGTCAAATGGTCATATGAGTGTTAGGGGAGCGGGGGTTCAATTTAAACACAGCAGGGGTTCAGGGGTTCAAGGTGGGAACGACACGGACTTCATTGGTTCAAAATATAGGCTCGGTAAGGGGTTTGTGGGGGTTCAGACTTGGCACTAGTTGAGGTTCAGGGGGGTCAAATGGCGGTACGTTCAAAGGTTCAGATTTGGCACGAGTAGATATTCAGGGGTTCAAATTAGACACGACAGTCAGAGTTGGTAAGACGCTGAATTTAGCCACACACACACACACACACACGCTAAATTTGAATCCCACAGAATTATTGTAGTATCGTGTGGGGGGGGGTTCATTACTTCTGCCTATGGTATTTTCGTTTATAATGTGACTTTGTTGTTCTTTTTTTTTTGCTGTTTATTTTCACCAATTAGTTTCGATTGCCTTCAGAGCTCATAAGATGCTTTATAGTGGCCGCCAGCCTTTATGAGAGAGAGAGAGAGATTTTTTCATCAACACTACTCCATAATTGTTCCTTCACTCCTCCACCATTCCTCCACCACTCCACCATTGTTCCTCCACCACTGCTCGCCTTCATGGTCTGTCAACTTATATTTATTTGGGTAACCTTGAAACATATCTTTTTTATAATAGCCTTGCCAGAAGAGGGGTGAGGGAGGGGGAGGAGAAGGGAGGGGGTGGAGGAGGGGGGGAGAGGTGTGGGTGGGGGAGGGGTGAGTAGACGAAAGGGGTGAAGGGAGGAGGAAGGAGGGTGTAGTAGAGAGAGGAGGAGGTGGGGAGGGAGGAGGAGAGTGGGGGCGAGAGAGGAGGTGGGGCTGTTATCGCTTGAGCTGTGTATCGTCCAGTGTGTGTGTGTGTGTGTGTGTGTGTGTGCGTGTGTGTGTGTGTGTGTGTGTGTGTGTGTAAAACAGTTTCACTGATTTCTGGATAACCATTGACGTGTGTGTTTACCCCAGGCCAAGGACGAGCTGAATATTGCTCTTTGTGAGAGGAAAATTGGTTTTTAATGTCAAGGTCAATTAGGGCTGTTTTAGTACCATCTCCTCCTTCCCTCTCCTGGTTTAGTTCAGCTGAAGATTAACCACCCTAACCTCACCCCCCTCCCTGAAGATTAACTGCCCCAACGTTACCTAATCTAACCTTATGTAATCTCGTTTAAACTAACATAAATAACATGAACTAACCTAACCTAACAGTGTGTGTGTGTGTGTGTGTGTGTGTGTGTGTGTGTGTGTGTGTGTGTGTGTGTGTGTGTGTGTGTGTGTGTGTTCAGAAGACGTACCCAGCAGACAGCAATTTTCCTCGACTTGGTCATTTTACAAAGCAAGTGACAGCATTATCTAGGGAGCGTATTGCCAGGGATCAGCTGTACCGGTGAAGTGACAGGTTTACGACACTCAAGATAAGACGATGCAAAGAGAGGGCCAACACACACACACACACACACACACACACACCATACCAGTCATCCACGAACTCACTCGCAACTACACATATATAACGTAACTCTCTCTCTCACACCTTTAATTACCCCCAGGTATCGTGAGTCATGCATCATTAACGTGTTCTGCTTGACGGCTTCTTATCACGGCTTCAAATCTCTTTCTTTTCTCGGGTTAAATATAATGTCTCATCCCCATGAATCCACAGCTTGTGTGTGTGTGGGACAACCTATTGTCAGGTGAGGGCCCACAACATTACCTGGCCACACACTTGAGTCAGTGTTTCGCCGCCCATGAGGAACCTAATTTTTTTGTACCCGCCTCTGAGGACGTGTCTTTTTTGGACCCATTTGTGTACCTACTTTTTATTTCTTTTCTCTACCATTTTTATGGTTTTGAACATTTTCTATACTTTCTAATATTTTTTTTATACTTTTTAAGGCCCATTTTATACTTTTAATATATTAAATATACTTTTGGATGTCTTTAAACACCACTAGTGAGGATCTTTAAACACCACTAGTGAGGAACTCTTCGCTGTTTACCGTCAGCTATCATACAGTCCCCTCACCTCACCCCACCTCACTCACCCTACCTCACCCCCACCTCACCCCACCCCACCCCCACCTCCACCCCACCTCACCCCACCCCTACCTCACCCCACCCCTACCCCTCCACCCCCACCTCTCCTCCTCCCACCCCTCTCACCTCCAATACCGAAAGTTCCCTAATAGTTGTTTATCTTCCTCACATCTCTCTGGGATTCATTATCTGGCTGGGTCAACCTTGGTTTTGGTCAAATTTTTTTATATTAGATTGGGGTTTTGGGGGGCTTGTTGATGATGATGTTTATGTTTTGTTGCTGTATTGTAACTGTGACTGGTGTTTGCATCTGGTGATTGTAACAATACTTACCGACTCCATGTAAAAACTAAATCACTAAGAAGTACTGATTGCTTGTGGGGAGGACCTGAAGATTAGACGCCCTAGCTTATTTTGACCCTCAAGCCTTCACCAAGATGCCAAGGGGAGGTTTTTTAACCTTTAGTAGCTTTTGTAAGTTTATTGTCGCAATTAAATGAATGACAAATAGCTGCGTCAGAGTTAATCACCAATTAAGTGGTTGTTTTTGAGAGAGATGGTTGAGAATATAGGAGAGAGAGAGACAGTGGAGAAATAGTGAGAGAGAGAGATGGAGAGAATATGAGGAGAGAGAGAGAGGGGATAGAGCAGTGGGAGGAAATAGTGAGAGAGAGAGATGGATGAGGAATATAGGGAGAGAGAGAGAGGGGGATGAGAGCAGTGGGGAGGAAATAGTGAGAGAGAGATGGATGAGAATATAGGGAGAGAGAGAGGGGATAGAGCAGTGGGAGAAATAGTGAGAGAGATGGATGAGGAATAGGGAGGGATAGAGGGAGTGGGGGAGGAAATAGTGAGAGAGGATAGAGCGAGGGGAGGGAAGGTAAGAGAGAGAGAGAGAGATGGATGAGGAATATAGAGGAGAGGGGGATGGAGGCGAGTGGGGAGAAATAGTGAGAGAGAGAGAGATGGATGAGGAATATAGGAGAGAGAGATGGATGGGGAATATAGGGAGAGAGATGGATGGGAATGAGAGGAGAGATGGATGAGGAATATAGGAGAGAGAGGGGGATAGAAGGCGGAGGGGGAAATAGTGAGAGAGAGAGACTGACTTATTTCAGCTTATTGTTAATAACAGTGGTCTTGCCGAGGAATCGTCTGTGTCTGACGTACACCAGTTTCCCGGGGAGGAGGAGGAACCCCATGACCCTATCACCAGGTAAATGCCAGATGACACTTGTACTCGGGGAGTGTGTACACCTCCACCTCCCTGTGTAAACGTGGCCGTATCTTTTTTTACATTGACTTCAGTATTATCTAACATTTTATCAACAATGACCCGACCCGACCCATGTAGCTTTAGACAAATTAAACCTTTCATTTTTAATTTTATTTACATGTTCTGGGGGAAAAAAATCACGGTTTATCTTCAAAAGCGGACATCAATTTATAGGTATCGTCCTTTTAAAGAAGAGTTGACAGGTAACCACACACGTCATGCCATGCTTAGTCTCCGGGGGCTGGGTGAGGGAGGAGTGGTGGAGGAAGGATGGGGCTGAGGGAGGGGATGGGGCTGAGGGAGGGTAAGTGAGGATGGAGGGGGTGGGGTGAGGGCGGAGGGGTGAGGTTGATTGACTAGCGGGGATCTTTGAGAACCGTCGGCCAGGTGTTTGTTAATAAGTCATCGTCTTCTGAGGTGAGGGAGGCAGAAGAGGTGTGTGTGTCGTCTACCTTAGTCTGGGTGGGGGGTTTAATCTTCAGTGATACACTCTTCAGATTCTTAATTACCAATGATTTTTTTTGTCATTAAGAGAGGTCACACCTCTCGGACTTGTTGTTTCGTCAACGTGTCCATCGCCGCCTATTAGTTAGTCTGTTGCCTTTCTTCTCTCCGGCCTGCTGAGTGAGGACATGTGTTGGTCAGGGAGTGTACTGGGGAGACGAGGCCGTGTACTGGTGACCGCGCGTGGTGGTGGTGGTGTTGAGTGGTGATATAGTAATAGTTTTGAGTGTGTTGGGTAGCGGTGATGGTGGTGGCGGGTAGCGGGCCGCTCACCAAAATACCCAGCAAGAGTGAGTGTGTGTGAGGGGCAGGGGGCAGGAAGGGGTCTGGTGTTGGCCAGGTGCCCGGGGACAGAGAGGGGTCTGGCGGCCCCCACGATTGTAGGCACAGTTCCGGCAGCCTGGCACGTTGTGGGACGAGGCTTGTCCCCCGCTGGCCTGCACAAGGGACCAAAGAGGCATGTGGTGACCTGCCGATCGGCCGCGACCTGCCAGCCACTCAGCCCCCCGCGGCCCTCCGCCACCACGTGTAGTGTACTGTAGGTCGGCGTGTGAGTGCCACTTCTGCCAGTGTGGGCTGACTCTCGTGGGCTGGTGAAGTGCCCCTCAGTGTGTAGTGGTAGCTGTTGAGTGTGGCGAGTAGTGTGGTTCAGTGTGACGCAAGGTGAGGCCAGTGTGACGCAAGGTGAGGCCAGTGTGACGCAAGGTGAAGAAGCCAGTGTGACCCAGGTGACGGATGCGTGTGTTGTGATAATGATGGTGATGAACGCCGGGGCGGCAGGACCACCCCGATAGGTGTTTGTAGTAGAAACGGCGGTGGTGGGGCCTTCCTCCTGTACCTCATGAGTCCAGCCCCGGGTCTTGCTTGCTGGACTGAGCCTGAGCGAGGGGCAGCAGCAGTAGCAACGAGGGCTGGCTGGCGGAGAGGAGAGCGGGTGGTGAGCCGTGGTGGTGGTGTTGGTGGTGATGATGACATGAGGTGTGTGGTGGTGAGGGGCCAGGATGCCGGTCTGCTGCACTATGCTCGACGCCCCGGACTCACCTCCCCAACTACCGCCTCCCCAACCTACCCACTGCTCCAACTGTGCAGGTACGTCCCCCTTCACCCTGGCCCTCACCCTAGCCCTCACCTTCACTCTAGCCCTTAACTTCCCCCTAACTCTCAACCTAAGCCTGACACTTCGGGAGGAGGGGGGCTCACACTTGACAGAGGCCACCTTCCCTTGACACTTGGAGGCAGCATCAACCTCACCCTAGTTGGAGGGCCGGAGGGTGACTTAAACCTCGGGGTGATGCAGTATTACCTCGAACCTTCCCCGGCCCACACACACACACATGTACGTTACCGGCTTGTAATTAGGGAAATTTATGTGCCGGGGTTTTCTTCCTTTGTTTACCCTTGATGGTTCTTTCTCTCTAGTGTGTGTGTCAAAATTCGTGTTGACAAGAGGTCCCCCCGCCATGTGCTGTGACTTACCTGTCGAGGGCCGGGTCAGCCAGGTATGTGTCTCGTGTAAATTAGTTCTGGGATCACCTGAAGAATAACACCCTCTAACGCTGCCCTGAGGTGTGATTAGGTTTGGTTAGGATTGGTTTAGGTTTGGTTAGGATTGGTTTAGGTTTGGTTAGGATTGATGTGTTGTGTTGTATGTTGTTGTTTTTCAGTGTTACATTGCGATTATGAAGGTCATCAGCAGGTGTTACAAAGGTCATTAGCAGGTGTTACAATGGTCATCATCAGGTGTTACAAAGGTCATTAGCAGGTGTTACAATGGTCATCATCAGGTGTTACAATGGTCATCATCAGGTGTTACAATGGTCATCAGCAGGTGTTACAAGGTCATTAGCAGGTGTTAATGGTCATCATCAGGTGTTACAAAGGTCGTAGCAGGTGTTACAATGGTCATCATCAAGGTTTACAATGGTCATCAGCAGGTGTTACAATGGTCATGCAGGTGTTACAAAGGTCATTAGCAGGTGTTACAATGGTCATCATCAGGTGTTACAAAGGTCATTAGCAGGTGTTACAAAGATCAGTAGCAGGTGTTACAATGGTCATCATCAGGTGTTACAATGGTCATCAGCAGGTGTTACAAAGGTCATTAGCAGGTGTTATGAAATGCATGCTTGATTTGGCAGGTGTGACAGTCCGCAGGTGTGACAGGTGTTGAGATATACAGTGTTCATGGTAGTGATGGTGGTAGTAGTATTGGTGGTCCTGGAAGTAGTAGTAGTAGTAGTGGTGATAGTGGTGGAGGTAGTAGTAGTCAGTCATCACCACCAACACACTGTAGAAATATTCATCGTCCTTGGCCGCCTCCCACTTCGTCCACCACCATCACCTCAGCCATTCTTACTTTCTGGCACTCAAGACTTTTCTGAGTGCCATGGGCAGAGTAGTGATGAGGGTCGTGCCAGAGTGGTGATGAGGGTCGTGCCAGTGTGGTGATGAGGTCGTGCCAGAGTGGTGATGAGGGTTTGCCAGAGTGGTGATGAGGTCGTGCCAGAGGTGGTGATGAGGTCGTTCCAGAGTGGTGATGAGGGTCGTGCCAGAGTGGTGATGAGGTCGTGCCAGAGTGGTGATGAGGGTCGTTCCAGTGGTGATGAGGGTCGTGCCAGAGTGGTGAGAGGGTCGTTCCAGAGTGGTGATGAGGGTCGTGCCAGAGTGGTGATGAGGTCGTGCCAGAGTGGTGATAGGGTCGTGCCAGAGTGGTGATGAGGGTCGTGCCAGAGTGGTGATGGTCGTGCCAGAGTGGTGATGAGGTCGTGCCAGTGGTGATGAGGTCGTGCCAGAGTGGTGATGGTCGTGCCAGGTGGTGATGGTCGTGCCAAGGTGGTGATGAGGTCGTGCCAGGTGGTGATGAGGGTCGTGCCAGAGTGGTGATGAGGGTCGTGCCAGGTGGTGATGGGTCGTGCCAGAGTGTGTGATGAGGGTCGTGCAAGTGGTGATGAGGTCGTGCCATAGTGGTGATGAGGTCGTGCCAGAGTGGTGATGAGGTCGTGCCAGAGTGGTGATGAGGTCGTTCAGAGTGTGGTGATGAGGGTCGTGCCAGGGTGGTGATAGGGTCGTGCCAGAGTGGTGATGAGGGTCGTGCCAGAGTGGTGATGAAGGTCGTTCCAGAGTGGTGATGAGGGTCGTGCCAGGGTGGTGATGAGGGTCGTGCCAGAGTGGTGATGAGGGTCGTGCCAGAGTGGTGATAGGGTAGTTATGACGCAATCAAACCATCATTTCTACGTCACCTATCCAACACACACACAGGATGTGCTTACGTCACCTTCAGTGCATAACATTACCGACGCCATGTTATTAATTATGCACGTGTTGTCCCCTGTGTGTTATTATTAGTGAGGGGGGTAATGACGTCAGGTTAATGACTTTGTTACCTACTAGATAGTTCCCAGGTGGATGACGTCACCTTTCTCTATTTATATTTATAACCACAGGAGGAAGTGCCTTATGCCTCGTGACGTCACTGTGGTTATGTAGGTGAGGAATGGGGGTGGTGGTAGGGTGGTAGTGGGAAGGTGGTGGTGGTAGGTTGGTGGTGGTAGGTTGGTGGTGGTAGGTTGGTGGTGGGTAGAGGTGGTAGTGGGAGGTGGTAGTGGGAGGAGGTGGTGGTGGTAGGGTGGTAGTGGGAGGTGGTGGTGGCAGGGGTGGTAGTGGGAGGGTGGTGGTGGGAGGGTGAGTAGGAGGGTGGTGGTGGTAGGGTGGTGGTGGAAGTGGTGGTGGGAGGGTGGTAGTGGTGGTGATGGTAATGTGAATGTAGCGTTAGTTACCTTGTCAAACAAACACACACACACACAGTCAGTCAGTACAGGTAACCAGGCTCAGGTGTTGGTTATGCTCCACACCTGTGCCTCCTCCATCACTGCTGACTCACCTAAGGTCCAGCCTAATAATTAACCCATTACCGTTAATTACCTTAACTGTGAGATAAATAACACCTGTGGTAGTTAATGACACCTTCACATGCTCTCCACTAACCAAGATAATGTGGTCAAACTTCTGGTGTGTGTGTGTGTGTGTGTGTGTGTGTGTGTGTGTGTGTGTGTGTTGTGTGTGTGTTGTGTGTGTGTGTGTGTGTGTGTGTGTGTGTGTGTTTTATGTAGCAGCCTTGACAGAGGTTTCCCATCACTCCAACACTCCTCGCGTGCAACTTACCTCTTGGGGCTAACTACACACACACACACACACACACACATGCTATCTATATCTTGAAGCTATGTTGAAAGGCTTGGCGTGGGTGAGCAGGTGCGTTGCTTGTGGCGCAGTGTGACGCAGTGTGGCGTAGGTAGTGGTTGGTAGGTAGTGGTGTGCGTGGACATTACCCTGCCACTACCTGCACGTCCGGTGTTTGTTGTGGCCTGCAGGGGGTTAGTGGCCTGCTGGGAGGAGTTAACCTACAGGACGGGTAGTGACCTGTGGGGGTGGTCTGCTGTGGTAGTGACCTGTGGGGTGGTCTGCTGTGGTAGTGACCTGTGGGTGGTCTGCTGTAGTAGTGACCTGTGGGGGTGGTCTGCTGTGGTGACCTGTGGGGGTGGTCTGCTGTGGTAGTGACCTGTGGGGGTGGTCTGCTGTGGTATGGCCTGCAGGGGGGGGTTAGTGGAATTTCGTTCAGTCTGGTAGATACATCACCACCACTAACAGTAACCACTAACCTAGCAGTTTAACTAACTAACAACCTACCAACTTTTAACTAAGGTCAAGGAATTCGAGAGAAGAATGTGTCTCTCCCTGTAGCACCGGAGAGACAAGACCACGTCGGGGTTACCTGTACGGAAAGGTGTCACAGGCAAATGAAATCAAGGTCAATCTCGTCACCAGGTGTGTTGGGGAATGACAGGTGGTGATCTAATGAGGGAATTTCAGGTAGAGTGTGTGTGTGTGTCGTATGTATGTATGTATATGTATGTAATGTATGCGTGTATGTATGTATGTATTAAGAGTAGGGTGGCGGTGGTTAAGAAATATCGGGGAACGTGGTGTTGGGATATAATTTGAGTTTATATAGAGCAGAGGGCCCCACCTCGACAGATGAGGGGCGGCCAGCAGGGGGGGCAACCTGCAGTAGTCGGTGTCCTGCTGTCTGACTGTCGAGCTAGTAGTGGCTCTCTCCTCTCTCTCTCTCTCTCTCTCCGGCTGGCTAAAATTCGGTGCTTTTCCTCTTCCACCACTATCTTGCCTTGATGTAGTCTGCTGCGACACTTACATACATACTTACATCTGAACACTTCTCTCACACACACACACACACACGGTAGAGTTTCACTGCAATTATGTCGCCATTTTGATAATTTTGTGGTGTTACCTGTATCACTTAAGGTAATTACTGTGTATTTCAGGTGAGTGTGGGTGATGCTGGTTGGTGGCGGTGGTGAGTACAACCAACACCAACAGTCTGGCCTGAAGCTTAACACATGACTGGGGATAAGAGGCTCGTCTTGTACAGTCAAGTCTCCTTGTTATTTATCCGCCATATTGTTCTCCATAAGTTGTGTTGGAGATAACGGGAAGACGTATATCTTTATTTAACCCCTTGAGGACGATGGTTTAACCCCTTGAGGACGATGGTTTAACCCCTTGAGGACGATGGTTTAACCCTTTGAGGACGATGGTTTAACCCTTGAGGACGATGGTTTAACCCTTGAGGACGATGGTTTAACCCTTGAGGACTTTGAAGATTATACACCTCAGCTTGTTGTACCTGTTGATAAGTCCTGAGCTTATTTTACCTGGTGACGGGTCGGGGGGCAGTGACGGGGCGACAGTGACGGGACAGCAGGGCGGCTGTGACGGACGGGGCGGCGGTGAAGGCCAAGTGGGTTACCAGAGTAATTGTTTTTCACGTGAATTGCCAGATGGGGAGAGGGGACAGTAGTGCCTCGGGGTGGACGGGATGGGGGTTAGGTGACGTCCCTGCATCTGTCTTTATCCTCACCCCGTCTCTATTATTTTGTTGGCGTGTCTGTCTGTCGGGGGGGCTATCAAGGTTGTTCCCCTGCGGACTTGTTGGGTCTCTGTGTAAGACATAACATAAGGGTGTGGCTGAGTTAACCTGGGTGTTATGGCCGCCTGGTGGCTGCCTCCTA